AGGTAAAATTCACTGCAGCAAACAGATACTGCCAAGAGATGTAAAACAGGCAGAGGAAAGAAGGTAAAAGAAGTGGAGCAGAAATGGATTTTACCCACAAATACCTGACCAAAAGGCATCAGATTATAGTTAACAGCTAAGCAAGAATCTATGATATCACAAAAGCAAACTCAGATTTAAAGAAGAGGGAGATTTGCCTTGGAAAAAATCCCTGAGACAACCACAAAGGCCTTGGTTTCTGAAATCTGAATATTTAGTAAATACCATTCCCACCGTGAGTGGGTACTTCATGTTTTCCTGCAAGCCAAGACCCACACTTTGCATAAACAACACAGGATGCACCAACTGCATAAAATATTCAGGAATAAACATGAGATCCAGTGAAAGAAAGTACAATTGACTCAAAATCATTTGTATTCTATCAATTTACTCTGTAACACCCAGCAAAACATCCCAAAGAGCTTCAGTTTAACGGGAACTCACAGGACCTGCGAGCACACGACCACAAGGAGCGAGGCCTCATGGGGTTTAGGGAGGATTTGGGGTGCTGTGCCAGAGGTGGAGATCCAAGGATCTCTGATCCGTGAGGATCAGTGGGAAGATGCTGTCTCCCACAGAAGGAACAGTACATCCTGCTATTCCCTGCCACAGGAATTCTCTGCTCCTGCAGTGTCCCCTCCTGGCCACAGCCAGCAGCAGCTCGGTCCATTCCAACACGGGGAATGGAAAAAAGGCACCACAGCTAGCTCCCAAAGTGCTGGAAACAGGAAAGCCTGGAGGTTCCAGGTGTCCTGCAGCGCTTGAGCCCTTAATCCCACCTGGCTGTGCTGCAAGTTTGGAATTCACCGGGTATCACACCCGGGATGGTTTGGGTTGGAAGGGACCTTAAGGCCCACCCACTGCTAACCCCTGGGACACCTTCCACTATCCCAGGTAACTCTAACTCCTGTCCAACCTGGCCTTGGACACTCTCAGGGATGGGACAGACATAAAATCAAAAAAAAAAAAAAAAGAGAAAAAAAGAAGGGAAGAATCCCTCTGGGAAAGGTGACTGAAGGCAGGCAGAGCCCAAAACACTGGGAAGCAACAGAGTGACCAAGGGGCAGACAATCTTCCTTCCCAAAGGAAAACCAGCTGCCCTCCCCATCTCACTGAGACAAACCAGCATTCCAGGTGGGAAAAGGCAAAGTGATGTGATCCCTTACCCTTCCTGCAGTGACGAGCTCTGGGAACTCCGGTGCCGGACCGCGGCCGAAAGCAAGAAGGCTGAAAGGCAGACAGGGAAAAGAACTGAAATGGGCAGCAGCTGCTGGGCTTTTGCAAAATCCCAGGATCACTGAGGTTGGAAAAGCCCTCCCAGACCATCGAGTCCAACCTGTGCCCGATGCCCACCCTGTCACCCAGCCCAGAGCACTGAGTGCCACATCCTTGGACACCTCCAGGTATGGGAACTCCACCACCTCCCTGGGCAGCCCCGTCCAACCCCTGACGAGCTTCCCAGCCCAGCTGGGAAGGAGGACGCTGATGGAGTCTCTGTTTCCCCAATCTCCTGGATTTTGCTGAAGGGTTTATACCAGCCCGGGAAAAACTGCATCAAACTGATTCTCCTTTTTGTTCCCCTGCCTGTTGGGCTGTTCGAGGCTGATACTGAGAAAGAGCTGAGCGGCTCCTTCCACCTCTGCAGCCGGGAGAGCTCCAGGGCTCATCCATCGGGTGTATGGCAGGGATACACCAGGAGCTGATGGGGGAGACCCGGATCAGCTTCCTTCCTGCCACCCCAGCAGCAGGCAGAGCATCTCCCTTCCTTCCCTCCCTTCTTTCCTTCCATCCCAGCAGCAGGCAGAGCATCTCCCTTCCTTCCCTTCATTCCTTCCATCCCAGCAGCAGGCAGAGCATCTCCCTTCCTTCCCTTCATTCCTTCCACCCCAGCAGCAAGCAGAGAATTTTCCTTCCTTCTCTTCATTCCTTCCATCCCAGCAGCAGGAAGAGTATCTTTCTTCTCTTCATTCCTTCCATCCCAGCAGCAAGCAGAGCATCTTCCTTCCCTTCCTTCTGCCCCATCAGCAGGCAACTCACAGTCCATCCTTTCCTCCATCACAGCAGCAGGTAGAGCTCGCTCCTTCCCTCCTCCCTCCCCCGTCGCCTATCCCGTCCCGGGTCCCGGTCCCGTCTCACCTCCGGCCCGCCGCGCTCCCGCCGCCGCCATCGCGGTGACCCCGCGCCGGACACGGAACAGAGCGGGGGGCGGAGCCACGGGGGCAGGGGACGGGGCAAAGGGCGGGGCGAATGAGCAGTGCGGTGAAGGGGCGGGGCCCCGGCGGGCTGGGCGGGGCCCGCTGCCGTTGTGGGCGGGGCGTGGCGGCGGCCATGGCGGCGGAGGCGGCGGATCGGCACCTGGAGCTGCTGCGGGAGGAGCGGGAGGCGGAGCTGGCCGAGAGCAGGCACGGACCGGACCGGGGCGGGGAGGGACCCCCGGGGGCATGTGCGGCCGAGGGGAGCGTGGGGATAGGAATCCGTTGTCACCCGTGGGCATCTGGGGGATCCTCCCCCAGGACCCACGGTCACCTATGGAAACCCTGGGGGACTCTCCCGTGGGACCTGCTGTAACCCGTGGGAATGTAAGGGACCCTCCCCTGGGACCCTCAGTCACCTATGGAAACCCTAGGGGACCCTCACTTGGGACCCTGAGGGACTCTCCTGTGGGACCTGCTGTCACCCGTGGGAATCTGAGGGACCATCACCCGGGACCCACTGTCACCTATGGGAAACCCTGGGGGACCCTCACCTGGGACCCACTGTCACCCATGGGAAACCGTCCTGTCACCTATGGGAACGCAGGTGTAATCCCACCTTTCCAACCAGCCCATTCCAATAGGAAACCACCCCAACAGGGCTCTGATCCGTGGGAAACCCCGCTGGACTCACCCCTATGGGACCAGCTCACCTGTAGCCATCCCTCTCAGACCCCCGTGTCGGGGGTGCAGACCCTTACCCAGCCACGAGGTGCCAGGAGCCAGGACAAGGTCATTCCTCTTTGTCACCTGGAGCCTCAAGTCTCGACCTCATCCCGATGGTGTTCACCCCGTGTGTGGTTCCCAGGGCATGGCAGGAGAGCGTCTCCCTGAAGGAATTGCAGCGGAGAGGTGTCTGCTTGCTCAAACTCCAGGTCACCAGCCAGAGAACCGGCCTCTATGGGCGTCTCCTCGTGACATTCCAGCCCAGGAAATGGGATTCAGACTCTGAGCTGCCTTCCAACAGCTTTGGGCCTGGTAAGGGGCATTCCTGTCTTTCCAAAATTAAAAAACAGAATCACAGAATCCAGGGATGGTTTGGGTGGGAAGGGACCTTAAATCCCATCAAGTCCCACCCCCCTGCCATGGGCAGTGACACCTTCCACTATCCCAGGTTGCTCCAAACCCCATCCAACCTGGCCTTGGACACTTCCAGGGCTGGGGCAGCCACAGCTTCTCTGGGCAACAACACATTTCCCCCCTCTTTGACCCTCTCCAAACTTGCCTTTGCAGGGGACATCGTGGGACTCTACGACTCTGCTGGGCAGGGTGACCCAGTGGCCACTGGCGTCGTGACACGTGTCACCTCCAGGGCAGTGACCGTGGCCCTGGAGGAGGCCCGGGATGGGGAGCTGGGCCTGGACCACGAGCGCTCCTTCCGCCTGCTCAAGTTGGCCAACGACGTCACCTACAACAGGCTCAAACGGTCTGGGCTCCCCGGGGGTCCCTCAGCTCAGGGGTGGGAGAGCCATGTCAGAACGGCCACGTTTAGTCCCACACACTTCCCAGTTTATTCACTAGGCTTGGTTTCTCTCCTTTCCGATCGCTGTTACTCCTACAGCAGCTCCTCTGAGGGGAGGTATCCACCCAGTCTTTTTGTGCTGCCTGCTGAGGGAATCCATCCTGGGATAATTCAGTTGGATTTGTCATGCTATATAACCTCATAACAGCCTAAATTTACCCACCTGCTGGCTGGTCCTGCTCTTCCCTTTCCCAGCTGCGTATTTCAGTCTGGTTGTAGGACCTCTGATAGTCCCTGGGTTCTGTGTAGGACCTTTTCCATCCTGGCAGGAGGACTGAATACTTCCTTGCTGGATTAACGTTCTGGAAAAGCACACTTGGCTGTACCAAGCTGGAATAATGGGAAGTGGAAGCCTGACCAGCACAGGGATGCATGTGGGAACATTGGGGGATGCAGGAATTAGATGGGATTAGTCTGGTGGGGTAACGTTGTTCATCTCTGGAATAGTTCCGTCTGTGCCCACAGCCTGTCTGTGGGCCCTTGGGAGTCTCCAAAGGAATTCCTGTGACCTGGATATTCCCTTCTTTGGCAGAGCTTTAACTGCACTCAAGCAGTACCGTGGTGGCCCGGCCTCCGACCTGATCGACGTCCTCTTCTTCGCCTCTGCTCCCAGGGCGTCCAGTGACACAAGTAAGGATCCTTCCTTTTTAATCAGGTTTTATGGGCATTCTTGGGAACTGCCTGTGGGAACAAAATAACTGCTCCTTGTACAGTTTTTATCCACATGTGCAGTCACTCAGCTCCAGGAAAGACCTGAGTGTTGAACATAGCCTTGAACACTCAGTGTTCATCCTGGTTTATACTGGACACGTTTCCCTCACAGAAAGAGCCTTGGAAGAGACTCTTCAGCTGATTAATGCTCCCTTTTCTCAGAGCATGCCAAGGAAAGTGGGGTTCTGGCATGACAGGCAGGATTTGTGATGGGGGAATCAGTCTGCACACATTCACGAGTCTGAAATCCAATCCAGTTTATGAGGAATCTCTCATTTGCTTCCTGCCCCAGTCCCATCCACAAACTCCAAAGATGAGGAACTGCCAGTGCTGCTTCTCTGTTGAAAATCCAGTGACTGCCTCTGTGGGAATTAAGTGGCTATTTGGAACAGCATGGGAACACTTGGATTTTTATTTTTACAGCCTTCTCATTGCTTTTGTCGAATTGGAGGTCTGGTTTCATCAAATACTTTGTGCTTCACAATTTGGCTTTACCAACAGCTGTCCAAAAAAACTGGATAGAAGTAGAATCCCCCTTTGTTGTGAACCTTTGGAAAATAAAAAAAGAAAAGGTGAAATTACACAGCTTAACCTTTCAGAGAAACCAGGGGGAAACCATCCCCCCTGAATCAGCAGCTGTACCAAATACCAACAACTGCTAATGAATGTTATCCCCTGACAGAAGGGAACTATCCTCTGGACTACAGAACTCTGGGAATGAGGGCAGAGGGTGGGTGAAGCTGCCCAGCAGGCCGGGCTGGCAGTCTGGGTCTAAGCCATGTACAGAGCTCAGGTCCCTCCTCTCCCTGCTCATGCGATCTGTCCCTTCCAGGATTCCCTCATTTTCCTGCCCACCACAGCTCCCTGCACTGTTTCTCTTCCTTGGATTGTGGATTTGGCTGCCCACAGTGGTTTGTCCTCTCGCCCAAGGCAGGCTCCCATTCCCTCCAGCCAGGCTTTGCTTCCAGAAGGATATACCAAGGACAAGGAATGGATATTAATAAGCCATATCCCCGTATCTCTAAGCACTGATCCCCGTCTGAGTCAACCCTTTCAGGGACCTTGGCGCACTCACAGTTTTTAATACGAGATAAAAGAATTCAATTTTCATCTTTAACTTTCTTAGCAACTCTTGCTCTTACCCCGAGGGAGCAGAACTGCCTCTAATGAAGGCAAACTCCCTCTCACCAGATTTCCAAACAAAGCAAAGATGAATTTTACGTCTCCCCAGCCCAGGCAATATTGATGGATAGAAACATTCAGCCACATTAGACAGGCAGAGGAGATGAAATATGAGAAGGCATCACCTGAAATCAGCAAAATACTCTGGCAGGGTACAAAGGCCTTCCAGTTGCTTACTCCCCTTAGAGCTGCTTTCTTCCCAACTAGAGAGATGTTTTTAAATTTAGATTAATTCTAAATGAAAGTTAAAATAAATTAGATTAATCCTATTAATTTATTAAAAATGTACATTATATATTATAATATAATGTAGAATAATATAATATTAAATACCAATATAAAATACTAATATATAATATATACAATTACATAAAAATTTAAATGTGCATTTATATTAACATATAAGAAAAATAAATAGTAATATAAAATTAATATAAATTATTACATTTATATATGACATTTTAAATTATAAAATTATCTATTAATTTCAAAATTAAATTTTATTAGATTCATTTAGATTAATCCCCAGCCAGGAATTAAACAATAAGTTCAAATAGGTCCTTGAACTGCCAGCCTGCGCTGAGCTGAAGTGCTGTGAGGACACAAAAAGCTCCCAGCCCTCAGGTGCTTCTCCCTGTCTCAGTGTCTCCTTTCCTGACCCAGCACCCATTAGCCTGGTTTCCTTGGGAGGTGCTTCCCTCTCTCTGTCATCCCATCCATTACCCGATTTCTAACAAACCCATCAGCAGGCTGAGTCAGTGAGTTCTGCACAGCTCCTCAGATTGCCTGTCTAGACACACATCTGTGTCAACACCGTTCTGGGATGTGGTACGGGCTCTCTGCAACCCAAATCCAGAAAGCCACGGAAAGGAGTGAGGGGAAAATCAGCTGCAGTGAGTGAAAGCTTTTTGCAGCAGCAAAAGCCTAAATCTGATTCTTTTTTAAAGTGTGGGATAAAATCTAGAAGCCTTATTTTCCAAGCAGGACTTCCGGGTGGGTTCTGACGCCACTGTGCATTTTAGTAATTAATTACCAGACACCAGCAGCCTAACCCAGCACAAGGGCCAAGTCCTTTCAAAACACTTAAAAATGCAACAGTGAACATCCTTGTCCTAAACACGAGAACACGAGACAGGCAGTGGGAGGAATAACCCATGGGATAGCCAAAGGAACGGGAAGGTGTCACCACTGGCTAGCTAGGATCTGCAGCTAAGAGTGGGACCGACACGAAGCACTTCCACAGCTCACCTTACTGCCTCCACAAAGGTTCCAGGGGGGAGAATAAGCTTCCCAAAAAGACAAACTCTGAAGTCAGCAGGATTTTTGCCCTCGTGAGACTCCCTAGGAAGCAGAATCCAGGCGCTCATCCATCAGGAGTGCTCTGCTTGTGTCTCTCACACTTTCATCTGCCTTCGTGGCCCTACTAGAGCTTCCACACCCAAAACCTCCTCCAAGCATCCCTTCCCTGCTCCCAGCATCCATGTGGGACTCCTGGACCCCAGTATTTTGGGAATGGGGGGAATGTGGAGAGGCTTGGCTTGCCAGCAGAGGCCAGCATTGCTCTGCTTGCTGTGCTCCTCATGGTCATCCAAGGGGGACACATCCCTTTTCCTTCTGGAATTCTGGTTGTGCCTCACCTGTGCAGGTCACTAACAGCTCTCTCCTGTGGTCCTGGGCTGGAGAAAGTGAGGGATGTTCACTTCAGTTCCCAGGAGCTGGCTCCGAAAGACCTGGCTTTACTTAAACCTACTAATGGCTGTAAAAACAGTTGAAAGGAGAAAGAAGGAAGAAACAAGCCTGGTTAAAAGGCAGGAATGTCCCCAGTAAAAGCCAGCTTGGCACTGGGATTTCAAGCAAGACTTCCTCGGGCTTCCTGGGAAAAGTCACTTGCAAAAAATCCTAAATACTCCTTGTCCCTTGGCCACGTGACACCTCTTGTGATCACAGGGGCCATGGAGAGGCCCTGGGGATTTTTGGGAAGACTGAGCCACCCAGACAACTCAGATGCCAAGTGTTTCCTGGGGAGAACAGGGAAGGTTCCTGATTCAGGCTGAAGTACCCACCTGGACTGTGTCCAGCAGCACTGGCTATTGTGAGGTTTTGCTGTGGAGGAGCTGCCGGTGGGGCCTGGTTTACTCTTGGTGCCTCCACACACTGATGGTGAGGAACACACTGTGAAGAGCACAGTTTCCCCATCTCTTTTTGGTGCAAAGACCCCTTTTCCTGGGCTTGGATGTCACCCTGCAACTTGCTGCTTCCCCAGAGTGGCTGGAACTGTGCAGAAAATCACCTCAATCACTGGAAATGTTGGAGAGCCAACCCTGATGGCCAAGGTGGTTTGTTTTATCAGCACTGCACTCCCTAAATCGAAAAAATTGAGTTGTGTTTCTGGGCAGAATTACCTGGCCACCAGTGAGACACGTCCCTGCCAGAACTGAGGGTGCAGATTTCCATTCCTCCTCTCCATGGCCCGCTTGGGATCTGGAATGGACAGCCTTGGGCGAAGCAGGAGGCAGCTGTGCAGAGCTGATGCCCAGGGGTAGAGCTGGGTTAAGAGGTGCAAATCCTAAACCAATTCCTTGTGGAGTCCTCTGGATCAGCCCTGCTGCAGTGGATAACCTGCAGTTCTTCACATGAGGCTACTTGGAGCCCAGGCTGGTGGATGAAGAGTTTGGAGGAGCTCAGCATCCCTTAAGAGGCTCTTCCCTCCTCCTCACCCCTGTGCTTAGCCCAGGAGAGGCTCATTCCCAGCCTGCCCACACAGCAGCTCCTGGAAGCATGTGGTTGGAAGGGATGAGGGTGGGCACACGCCTGGAGAAGCTCCTGAGCTCATCCTCGAGCAAGAAAACATCAATGACTCCCACGTCCCGGCTGTTCCTCACTGTGGGAAATGCCTTTCAGTTTTGAAGCTATTCTTGCTGTTCCCCCGGCCCAGGGGATGTTTCCTGGCCTTCTCTTAGTCATTAGCACACTCACCCAAAAATTATATATAAACCAAGAGGCAGATTAACAGCAAAAAGCACCTTTGGCCCCAATTCTCCCTCCCTCACCACCTCTTTGGGGGGAGTTTTTGGTTTAACACAGACACCTCATTTAGTTGTGCTGCCTCAAAAGCCAGAGGTCCCGCACGAGTTCACCTGCCTGAAACCAGGAGAAACTTCCCTGCTTTTAATCCAGCCCTTGATGCAAAGAGAGGGAGAAACCACATGATGCCCAGCAGGGAACGATGCCCAGAGATGTGTCTTATATAAGCTTTTGTGGGAACGTTATTTTCGGGAAACCTCAGTGTAATGAGTCATCATCTCTGCTGTAATTAACTCCCATAATGAACAAGGAGATTAGCAGCAGGATTAGGGGGGATGAGAATAAATTTGGGCCTAAATGAGATAAATCTGGGAGGTAAAAAGCAGCTTGTGAGAACTGGGTCTCTGCAGTGAAACCAATTCTCTTCTAATGCAATTTGCATATTCTTTTCTCTTTTTTCCTGCCTTATGAAAGCTGAAACTAATTTTAGTTTTATCATTTAAATTGCTGTTCTTATCTTTTCCTACCTTCCTTGCTGACCAGTACAGGGCTGCTGTGTTCTGCCTCACAGATTTTGTAGGTTTTCCTGCTGCTTTTTCACTAGTGCTGTGTCGGATTTAACTGGAATGGCTGTCATTTGTTCACAAGATCAGCTATTTCCCTCCCAGTTTCCACTGAAGATTCCCTAAATATGCTGGCCCACCTGTGAAGCAAACCCAGAGCTCCCTCCACAGCCAGGACAACCCTCCTGTTTGATGCTAGAGCAGCTAAATTCCTCTTTGAACACTGGAAATTCCAACACTGACTGGCTGTGTTCACAGCTGAACACAAAATATCAGGGGTGGGGAGGGGATGGGGAAGGCAGGGATGCAGGATGGACAGCTTGTTTGTTTTGGAAGCATAACAAGCCTTACTTTTATATTTTGGGGTCTTTTATCCTCCTCAGTGTCTTCCTCCCAAGTTCCTCCTCATTATGAAATGGATTTGGGCTGGCTGCGGAGAGCTTCTTGTTTTCCTGCATTTGTGCTTCTCAGCCAGCTCCCAGTTAGGGCAGAGGTCCCAGTGACCCTCTGCTGTGTCCCCAGAGCCTCTGAAGTTTTTCAATACCTCGCTGGATGAATCCCAGAGGGAAGCTGTCTCCTTCTCCCTGGCCCAGAGGGAGCTCGCCATCATCCACGGCCCACCCGGCACAGGGAAGACCACGACCCTGGTGGAGATCATCCTGCAGGCTGTGCAGCAAGGCCTCAAGGTGAGGGGCAGTGGCAGGGCTGTGGTGACTGTGACCACCTCTCCTTGTGTCGAGACCTCACAGCACCCCCAGGTGTCAGAAGGGACCTGCAAGGAAGCTGGAGAGGGACAATTCATCAGGAACTGGAGTGGTGGGACAAGGGGGAACGGATTCAAACTGAAAGAGGGGAAACTTAGGTTGGATATCAGGGAGAAATTCTTCCCTGTGAGAGTGGCCAGGCCGTATCACAGGCTGCCCAATCCCTGGAAGTGTCCAAGGCCAGGTTGGACGGGACTTGGAGCAACCTGGGATAGTCGAAGGTGTCCCTGCCCGTGGCTGGGGGTGGCACTGGATGGGCTTTAAGGTCCCTTCCCAGCCAAACCATTCAAGGGCTTTGTGGCAGCTGGAGCAGCTCCCACAGGAGCTGTGCTGATCCAGAGCCTGGCTTGGCTTTCAGGGATCGGGGACTTTCCCACCAGCTCAGATTAGGTGCTGATAAAAGCTCCAAAACTCAGGTTTGCTGTTTATTGTGAACTCTACACTAGTGCAGCAAAGCAAGGCGAGAATTACCTTTGGAGCCTGGGGGCCCTGGAGATGTCAGTGGTTTATTCCCAACAGGTGCATGTTGGTCTCCCTCTCTCTGCTTCTTCCCACTCAGACATTGCTGCTCCAGGGTTCTGGTGTCCTTGGAGGTACCAAGCACAGCTGGTTTCTCCTCTCGCAGGTGCTGTGCTGTGCCCCTTCCAACGTGGCTGTGGATAACCTGGTGGAAAGGCTGGCCGGCTCCAAGGCCCGGATCCTGCGGCTGGGACACCCCGCTCGCCTGCTGGAGCCCATCCAGCAGCATTCCCTGGATGCAGTCCTGGCCCGTGGGGACAACGCCCAGATAGTGGCAGATATCAGGAAGGACATCGACCAGGCCTGGGTACGTGTCCCTGCAGCCCATCCCACCTGCACTGCCTGGCTGCAGCACCTGATCCACAGACCTCCCTAAATTAAGGGACAACCTTACCACTTCTTAGATGACTGTGCTCCAGGTTATCCCAAAAATCAGTGACTAGAGGCAAGTCAGGGACTAGTCCTGAAGTGAGCCAACCTGCACACCCTGGTTAAATCACGTATTTGGGGTTCAGGACACCCTGAGCCCCCGAGGATGCTCATTTTGGATCTTCCTGTAGCCAGGCAGGGGGTTTATTGGTGAGTCTGTCTTTGTGGCCAGTCAACAGGAGAAAGGACACCCCAGGGGTGAGACAAATAATGGCAAAGTGCAGGGGACTAAACAGTTGAAGATGGGAATGGATCCAGAGTGGCCTGGATTAATCCCATTTACTCTGATTGGAGGTTAGAAAATTAGATACTAGGAAGAAAAATCTTCCCTGTGAGGGTGGTGAGGCCCTGGCACAGGTTGCCCAGAGAAGCTGTGGCTGCCCCATCTCTGGAGTGTCCAAGGCCAGGCTGGATAGGGCTTGGAGCAACCTGGGCTAGTGGAAAGGGGTTGGAACTGGATGGGCTTTAAGGTCCCTTCCCAGCCAAACCATTCTGGGATTATGTCATCTTCATCTGCTGGAAGGCAAAACTCCTCCTGGCTGAATCCCTGACGGAAGTGGGAGAATCACAGTCCCCACTGTTGTGCCCTGCCCCTCACATCATGTGTCTGGCATGGTTCCTGCCATCCTCTTCACCAGAGAAACATTCCCATCATTAATTCACTTCCTAATGAGCTGTCTGCCTGTCCTGACACTCCCTCCCACTCTCAGCCACCTTAAGTAGAAAGCAGAACGTATTTAAAAATGCATCTTTAGTTTCTTCTTTCTCAACCTAGTTTTCCTAAACTTAACTTACAAAGTGGCTCTGTTCTTTGCGATGACGTTTTGATACTAAGTAAGTTGTTTTCCCTCCCCTTCTGGTGACAACACTGTCCAGAAGCCATTTTTTTACTTCCTGATTTATTTTCCATCATTCTCACTAGTGATTATTTTTGCTTTTCCTCTCCCTGGGAGGCATTTGGAAAGCTGAGAGGTTTTTCACTGTTGATTTTCCATAGCAGAAGCGGAATTAGGGAGAAAGCAGAACCTTCAGCACTAAGGCCTCCATCTGCTTCCTCCCTAGGAAGAGGATCATGGTGATGGGAGGGAGGAACTGGCCACCAAGGCTTGTTTCACCCCAAAATACCAAACAAGAACCCAAGAGCTGCAGTCCAGCTTGTTTTGAGCTGCCCACAATCAGGTCTGTCAGAGAACATGACCCTGACTCATTCCATCTCTCTGGGCTGCAGAAACCTCAGCTCTGAGGTCCCAGCCCATCTTTCCCTCCTCCAGCCTCAGTTTCTCCCCTGCCATGTTCCCTGCTTGTCCCTGTAATAATTTCTTCCTTTGCAATTCCACATTTTTATGCTTCTCACTCCTCCCCTTCATCAACACCACAAACTACAGAAGGACCAGTGACAGAAATAAACCCCTGTGCTCTCTTTGGGCACTTCCTACCCCTTTGTGCCTCCTGCCCTCAGCTGGCTTCAAGCTTCCCAGGACCTCAGCTCCTGGATACTCTGCACCAGCAAAACTGCAGCCCCACAGTACCTGAACAAGAAAGGCAGCACAGGTCCAGTCCCAGGTCCAGGGGGATGAAGCAGGTAATCCAGGAAGGAAACCAAGCTCAGCCTGACCTGGCCTTAAACAGAGCTCCCAGACCAATGAATGGGTGGGTGGGGGACCAGATGAGACAGGTGGGGATAGTCAGAGCCTCATGGCACCCATGGAACCCTAATTAGGAATGGACTGTGCTCCCTGCTCCCTAAGCTGCTTCCAGAGCCCAAAATGAGGTAGATGTTTGGATCTTGTGAGTGCCACAAGCCGTCATCAGACAACAGTTGCTATGGTTAATTTGTTCACTAGATCTTTGTAGCAGAACAGACATTCCCCTTGGCCCTGCTAGCACTATCAGTTTGCCCCTCTAATATTCCTGGTTCCAGCAGGGAGGAAATTGATGCTCATTTGCTTTGTTCCTTCAGCTCAGTCCACCTGTCCCTCAGATCCAAGGAAGAGGTGCCTGTGTGGTCACAGATCTGCCTTTCTGTCATCCCACCCCTCTGGAATTTCTCAGCCCATTTTGACTCCACTTGACAGGCACATGGAGGTTTCAGGGTTTTAAATACCTACAAGTTCAACTGGCTGAGCAGAGGCTGCAACATGAGCTGAACCGTGCTAGACCCTGGAAAATCCATCCTTCCAGAGCATAACTGCAGGAACAATCG